GATTTGCACTATTCAAAGAAACTGACACAAGTACCAAGCACGCCAGCCAGAACTGAATAATAACACAAGCCTCGTCACCTCATTATGCAGCCAAGCAGTGGCAATTAAAACCACTTTTGCAGGCATTGTCTGAGAAATGCCTCAAGTAATGCTACTCCATAGCACTCTCTACAACTAACACGTTCACTTAATCACATCTAGTGTATGTCGTAGAAATCACAACCGTGTGCGCATTGGTTGATGATACAATCCAAAAAGGCAATAAAAAAACGTAGCTCATTAAACAATGTCACCTTGAAATGCCAATCAAGATAAAATTACCAAAGGCAGTAATATCTTTATTTTAAAGAAATTGGTGATTACTCACAATCAACCCTACACTTTGGCTTTTAAATCAACTCAATGTAAATAGGGGAGTAAAAAAGCAATTCAATGACAAAGGCACAACATCTATGGGTATTACATTTTTGTACACATTTTCTAGACAGCATTCGCCCAGTGTCAAGAATGAGTTCGAAGGCCCCAAATTGACAAGGGGATTGTAGGTGCATGCTTTAAGGGGCAAAAAAACTGTTCAGAGCAAACAAGGCGAAAGAAATATTGGGCCCAAGAGCTTAAGGACCCTTCTCGATTTCATATAATGGTTTTGTTGCCGTGTTTTTGCGTGTATTCAAGCAGGCACACTAGAATATTGGTCTACTATGATCATTCAAGTGTGACATCTGTACCTTCTCCTTTACTTGAGAAAGACTTCATATTCTGGGACATTAATTTGCTAGATATCTGCATAAACATTCCACAAATTATAAGATTCTCTTTTATATAATACACTGAGATATAATAAAGATAGTGTCATAGATGCTTTTTTACACTAAAGGCGACCATTTATGAAAAGCTAGTCGTATGATTTTGGTGCAACCGAATTTACACACAAAACGTCTTCCAATGCATCTACGTCTGTAATGTACTGTACACCTTGCACAACTAGCCATCTACAATATATAATATTCATCACCATGATCTGTTGCTGCACTGAGTGAACCAGCTGTGATTTTTTGCATGCCTTCCCATTGGGCACAGTACGATGAATATTGCACCTGTACCCACTTTTGGTCACGCCAAGTATCAAACCTATTATCCGATCACATGGCATGGCACGGAATCAACCTCTACCTCAAACGATTTCATTTTTGACCAATGCCATTTTCAGCTTTACATTAATTTAACTCTCCAGGAAAATTGCATTTTTTTCTCTTACGATTCGTTATATTCCCAGTTGTATGGTTTAACTGCATTTGGCATGGTAGACAATGTCGAGTACATTCTTACACATAAGTAGGTCTAAATGCATACCGAGTTCGTACTCTATGCCAGATGGAGCAGAACTGTCTTGGATTATGCATTTTGGGCCTTTAAACCCCTCACTTGCTGTCAAGCACTGCCATTATCAAATCAGTTTTGACGAGACGGCACCAAACCCCAAGAATTAAAAAAAACACAATGGTAAAATGGCCCCCTCATTAACTTGCACGACGAGAAAGCTGGAAGGTGGTACACTGCTGATAATAAACTACTGTTGTGGTCAAACGCACACCATCATCTCTCGTTTGGGTCCGCCGAACCTCAAACAGATGTACCCAGTTGCCATGCTGCATTCGGCCAACATTGGCCCAATGAGTGCTTAACTGCATCATATTGTGTACAAAGCCTCAACGACTGTGCACTTGAGAATGACGCTGGTTTCTTTTCGTCCACGACCAACTAACACGTTAAGCCAAGAAGCACTCAATAACTACCCTCACCTGTGTTAACACTGGACGAACTGTATGCGGTGCAATACATTTGTTTGCTCGTCTTATTTGAAACCTTAAAGGCACGAGTCTCATAACATTAGCATTATGGTTGGACGGGAATATTCAGCGTCAGAATTTAAACACACGGTTTACTCCAGGACACTCGGGAAAAACGCAAAGTCGTTACACGCAAGCCAGTCGTTGTACCATTTGCTGCAGCCAAAAAGGCCAGTGTTGTGCACTCCAGTTCATTAGGGGTCATCGTTTAATACAAGGGTGAACTAAATATGGGCTTGAAACACGTGAACGGGCAAGTATGTGGAGTCGTTTTACGCATGCATGGAAGTCACACGTAGGACAGCACTGGTTAAATTTGGTGTTAAATACCATCAAAATAAAGATATCACTAATTAATACCAAATACCTAGTCCATTCAGTTATGAATCAGTTTTATAATCACTTTGGTGACCAATCTAATACAAACTTCTACAGCCACACACCTGCCAATGTGGGAGACATACATCACCAATTTAAAAGCAATCATAAATAAATCCATTTGATGCGTTGACGGCTACGAATCCAATGCTGTTGTTGCGTCTATCTGCCCATGTCAAGCGGGGCCGTCGCAACTGCAAAAACCAGTTCAACACCCGCTCCCAGCCCAATCTGGGCACAGCATCATCACACATTAAGTCGCAAAACCCCATGCAAGTGTGGGTCACCGCAGCTATTAAAACGGGACACGTATTGCGTTTGCATCTCCACATCCATCAATGAAGCCTCCTGCCTCCTGCACCCCCCACACCACCACCCCCAGCAGTTTAAATAGACCGAGCATCGCATCACACACACACACGTGTACGCAAGGGATCGGTAAATACGCGAGTTAGTAGCACACGTAATTGGTACTGTACATTGGTCAGAGTGCTATGGTCAACACAACTCAATGTCGTTAAGGGGAATGATATAAAACGCGACCTTGCACATTTATTTTACATATTTAGGTGCATTTAAATTTTTTGCGCGTTGTCTGTATCCGTTAAAAACGAATCGGACAAATGTTGACATTTTACCAATTTCATTATTCCGTCCACCCCACCTCTCTTAAATACGAATACTGTAAGTTAGTGTTTTAGTAACGTTTACATTTATACACGTACGCGTTTTATCTTTAACTACGGCCTTTTAATTTACAACTTGTACCTCGCAACGCATTTGTAACAACGACTGCTGTTACTTTTCTTCCGTTCCCTATTTGTACGCGAAATATTTAACAAAAACAAACGTGTCGAGCACGTATATGCTTGCGTGCTTGATGGGGAGCGGTAGCGTAGCAGCGCTTAGCGCGCTGCAACTACCACCCCCTGGAATCCAACTACCACCCCCAGTTGGATTCCAGCCCCACGGCCAACACAAGAACCGGGGTCCCGGGCCACCCCTCAAACGAGAACCCGGTGCGGTGTGTAGTAAACATCGCCACTGGGGGACACAAAAGCGGCCGTGCGTGGTGCCGGCCACCCCACCCCCTTCATAGAGGCGCTACTCGCTAACAGCACTTGCCCCAACAGTCTGTTAAGGCTACACGGGGGGGGGGGGGAGAATTTGTCTTTGTGTACGTGTCAACACACGCAAGATGACATTTTAGCATCGAACAGAAGAAAACAAACACCCTCCGGTTCAGTGGTATAACGACGTTAAAGTTACACAAACAAGGAGTACAACAATATAGATATTTGCGTGTTCCCCGCCACCCCCTAAACGAAAACACCACGCACGCCGCAGTCGCCAGATCTGCCCGAGCAAATGACCGCCATTTTAAGATCGGCTCAAGTGGCCAGGGCCGCCACAGCCTCCTCCTCCGCCTCCGCTCTTGAGCAATTTTAAAGAGAGGTGGATGATGGGAGAGGGGGGGGATAAAGACATCGAGACGGTGGTTAAATTATCATCTCGACTCTACAAGGTCGACGACTTCGCAACGTTGCGGCGGTGGTGGGGGGGGGGGTGCGGAGATTGTGGGCGTGTGGGGGGCACCATTTCCAAGCCCGGTTCCTCTCGACAGAGAGCTCTGTCCCATAGATCACCGAGTAAAGCCGGGGCGCAGGCGAGTGTACAAGTGGTAAAATGGGCGGCGTGTTTGCCACATGACCTCAGTTGCTTGTACGCACACGGTACTCCGTGGGAGGGGAGTGGAGGAGGAAGGGGGGGGGAGGGGGAAATTATATCTATTTTTTTCTAAGTCACATTTGTCCCGATGTTCGTTTAAGTTGGGGCGACTAGCTGTATATACTGTCAAGCGATCGATGATTTTCGCGTTTGTGTTTATTTAGCGAACGCCGTAACCGGCGCAGGGCTTGAAGTGAACTTGGTGTGGGTTTAATTGCCCATCCCCCGCCACGTCTCCGCTCCAACACAACGGGTTCCGTTTTTGTTATCGTCACAAACACCACAAGTTACACACGAAGTGTCCCTTTACGTGACACGTACAAGCGACAGCCTCACGTACAACACTAATAACACGACCACGAATAAAAAGATTGTAAACGCGACGAACGTAAACAAGTTAAAAAACGCACTCGCACCGCTAACATCCCGTCTGCCTTAAGCCATTGTACATACAGTATATGCAGTTCAGCCTATTTCGATTCTATAATAGATTGTAGAACGCACTGTATAAACTGTATAAACTGTCTTTATACAGTAGTGTAAACAACGTGACATATACAGTAAACGCATACACATCAACTTTGTAACACGTACGAATATCTCAATTCGCGTGTGCATATACTAAACACGTGCGTACACATACAAATACACACGCACACCTCTGCCCTCATGTACACACATGTACACAAACTCACGTACCCCAATGCAAACATAAACAAACGCATACAACACATACACCTATGTACCGACATGTACACCTATGCATCCACACGTATGCACATATCCACACATGGACACACGCACGTACACATACATACACACATACATACACGCGGCGAAATAAATAATAAATTAATCCCCCCACCGCCATCTTGCCCGGGGCCTAGGCTCCGCGCGAGCCTGGCTCTGGCCTAACGGCCGCCCCCGAACCCCCGACAAGCGCGGCGGCTTGGGCGACGCGGACGCGACCGGGCGTCACCAATAAACGAACGTCGCGGCGCGGCGAGAGCGTCGCGGCAAAAGGGAAGGGGCCTTCTCACTCACCGGCGCGCCTTTTCGCTCACTCTCCCTTCAAAAAAAAACAACTCGCGGGCCGACCGAGGAAAAAAAGGGGCGAATAGAGCGCAAGAGGAGGACGCTTTATCCTGAGCTGCCATCTGGCGGTCTAAGTGTCGGCGGGAAACGCACCGCCCGTTACCCCGGGCGACGCCGCGCGCCCCCTAGCGGCCGGGGCAGCGCCGTGCGCGCGCCGGAGACCCCCGTTGCAATTCCCAGCGTGCATAGGCGGCGACGCGCCCCACGTGACGCGGCGCGCATCCGCGCTAGATAATGTAAACCCCCCCCCGCCACCATTTGCGAGGTCACGCCCCCTCAAGCCCCCGCCTCCTCAAGCCCAGCCCCCTAAACCCCCCGCCCCTTCAACCCCCGCCCCCGCGCCCGTTCCCGCTTGGGCGGAGTAACAATTCAAACGCCCGCGTCGCAATTCGACTCTCGTGCTTAGACAAACGTGGAATCGACTCAACTTATAGTAAACAGGGGGATTGGGTTATCGCGACTTGGGTGTGTTTTTTTTTCAATCTACCGGCGGAGTTTCCCGTGAAGCGTTGGCTTGCAATGGGTGTGCACGAATCGAAAATGTTCGATTTGTTGAACGAGCAGCTCGATGCACTTATTGGCTTATAACCGGTCGGATCGATGGAAACGATTCCAGTCCGTGTCGACTAACGCTCACACACCCCACCCCTCGTGACGTCATAAGCGCGATGGCGCGGGTGGCGACGTCACCGCGAGGGGCCGCTTTCTCTTCCCGCCCAATTGTTTTTGTGCGGCCTCTGAGGCGATCAAATTGTTCGGCTGAAAGGGAAAAAAAATAAACCACACAAAGCGCCGCCGCTTAAAGCTAACACGCGGTTGCAGTTGCCAGAAAAGTTACAAACACGCGGCGGGGTTTTTTTTTAAATAAATATTTTATCCCTGGTTCGGTTCGAATGTTATTGACGCGACCGCCGCTTCCAAACGGCCGGTTCCGTAAACGACCACCGCTGTTATCGTCCCTGAAGCTTCGTGCAAGCATCTCGAGTAAAAAAAACAACAATACACTTAACTTATCACGCGACAGCGGTTCATGTTGCCAAACAGCTTATGTTTCATGGCCCACGGAGACTTAAAATCACCGCTCGGCGATCTCGCAGCCTTAAAGGGGTAGGAACGGCCGCACAAAAAAAACACAAATGTGATGGGAGATTTAAAACAAAAATCTTAACATCGAGGTTTGTGTGGAAAATGCATCCGATACCAAACGAGTACGTTTGCGCGAATTTCTTTTTAAAAAAATGTTTTTCACTAACGACTTCAGAATAGATTGATAATTGTCGAAGCGGTGAATGCAGAAGCTCGTGGGTAAATGTTTGACCACTGACCCCGACAGAGATGACCCAGAGATGGGATGTTGTGATGTTAAAGCCCCCGACTATTAATCAGGAGCGATAGTAGTACGGTAATTCCCCAGCAGTGGCTTATCAAACAACGGGAATGCGCCTTACAAAAGAATGCGATTTTAAATATTCACAATAGTATTTGAATGTATTATTAAGAGGGTCCTGAGGGGGGGCTAGTGTGCCGATTTTTTACGTCATTTGTGAATAAATGTTTTACGAATAGGTGTGAATAAAACAGCAGGCACAAATACACATGCTGTGTGTAGGAAAGGCATTTTCATGGATTTCTGTTGCGATGTTTGGTCAATTTCATGTACCCGTGTCTTTGAGAGTATATTCATCAATGTTTAAGGTACAGTACTGTGGTCTCCTTTGCAAATAGTTTGTTTCAATGCGAACTTTTAAAATTAACGTTGGCGCAATCTATTGTCTCAATGCGCTACATTAAAACGTTTTGTTTTCACCTTTGTTGACAACGTGTTATAAAACCCCCAGCTTCCAGTCTGTGCCGTGTGTTAAAATATCTCCCACTTTATTAAAATTACCTAAGAATTATTAATTGAAAGGAAAACACCCCAGCTTGTAGCGAATGGATGGTCTTCCCACGCCAAGGGTTGTTTGACCATATTTCACCATGTTGATCAGAGCAGGTTGATGAAGAGGGGGTCCCAGGAATGGGTTGTCAAGGTGGCTAGGAGATGTTAACTCCGTCGCCTGGTATGCAGGAGATCGTGGATTCCATCCCGACGCTGACGCCTGCTGCTGCTGCTGTATATTTGGAGTTTGTGTGTCTCTCTCATCATCATCATGGTGGCTAGGAGATGTTAACTCCGTCGCCTGCTATGCAGGAGGTCGTGGATTCCATCCCAACCCTGACGCCTGCTGCTGCTGTATATTTGGAGTTTGTGTGTCTCTCTCATCATCATCATGCTGGCTAGGAGATATTAACTCCGTCGCCTGGTATACAGGAGGTCGTGGGTTCCATCCCAACCCTGACGCCTGCTGCTATATATTTGGAATTTGTGTGTCTCTCTCATCATCATCATTGCGGCTAGGAGATGTTAACTCCGTCGCCTGGTATGCAGGAGGTCGTGGATTCCATCCCGACCCTGACGCCTGCTGCTGCTGTATATTTGGAGTTTGTGTCTCATCATCATCATCACGATGGCTAGGAGATGTTAACTCCGTCGCCTGCTATGCAGGAGGTCGTGGATTCCATCCCGACCCTGACGCCTGCTGCTGCTGTATATTTGGAGTTTGTGTGTCTCTCTCATCATCATCATGGTGGCTAGGAGATGTTAACTCCGTCGCCTGCTATGCAGGAGGTCGTGGATTCCATCCCAACCCTGACGCCTGCTGCTGCTGTATATTTGGAGTTTGTGTCTCTCTCTCATCATCATCATGGTGGCTAGGAGATGTTAACTCCGTCGCCTGCTATGCAGGAGGTCGTGGATTCCATCCCAACCCTGACGCCTGCTGCTGCTGTATATTTGGAGTTTGTGTGTCTCTCTCAGCATCATCATGGTGGCTAGGAGATGTTAACTCCGTCGCCTGCTATGCAGGAGGTCGTGGATTCCATCCCAACCCTGACGCCTGCTGCTGCTGTATATTTGGAGTTTGTGTCTCTCATCATCATCATCACGATGGCTAGGAGATGTTAACTCCGTCGCCTGCTATGCAGGAGGTCGTGGATTCCATCCCGACCCTGACGCCTGCTGCTGCTGTATATTTGGAGTTTGTGTGTCTCTCTCATCATCATCATGGTGGCTAGGAGATGTTAACTCCGTTACCTGGTACGCAGGAGGTCGTGGATTCCATCCCGACCCTGACGCCTGCTGCTGTATATTTGGAGTTTGTGTCTCTCATCATCATCATCACGGTGGCTAGGAGATGTTAACTCCGTCGCCTGCTATGCAGGAGGTCGTGGATTCCATCCCGACCCTGACGCCTGCTGCTGTATATTTGGAGTTTGTGTCTCTCATCATCATCATCATCACGGTGGCTAGGAGATGTTAACTCCGTCGCCTGCTATGCAGGAGGTCGTGGATTCCATCCCGACCCTGACGCCTGCTGCTGCTGTATATTTGGAGTTTGTGTGTCTCTCTCATCATCATCATGGTGGCTAGGAGATGTTAACTCCGTCGCCTGCTATGCAGGAGGTCGTGGATTCCATCCCAACCCTGACGCCTGCTGCTGCTGTATATTTGGAGTTTGTGTGTCTCTCTCATCATCATCATGGTGGCTAGGAGATGTTAACTCCGTCGCCTGCTATGCAGGAGGTCGTGGATTCCATCCCAACCCTGACGCCTGCTGCTGCTGTATATTTGGAGTTTGTGTGTCTCTCTCATCATCATCATGGTGGCTAGGAGATATTAACTCCGTCGCCTGGTATACAGGAGGTCGTAGGTTCCATCCCAACCCTGACGCCTGCTGCTATATATTTGGAGTTTGTGTGTCTCTCTCATCATCATCATGGTGGCTAGGAGATGTTAACTCCGTTACCTGGTACGCAGGAGGTCGTGGATTCCATCCCGACCCTGACGCCTGCTGCTGTATATTTGGAGTTTGTGTCTCTCATCATCATCATCACGGTGGCTAGGAGATGTTAACTCCGTCGCTTGCTATGCAGGAGGTCGTGGATTCCATCCCGACCCTGACGCCTGCTGCTGCTGTATATTTGGAGTTTGTGTGTCTCTCTCATCATCATCATGGTGGCTAGGAGATGTTAACTCCGTCGCCTGCTATGCAGGAGGTCGTGGATTCCATCCCAACCCTGACGCCTGCTGCTGCTGTATATTTGGAGTTTGTGTGTCTCTCTCATCATCATCATGGTGGCTAGGAGATGTTAACTCCGTCGCCTGCTATGCAGGAGGTCGTGGATTCCATCCCAACCCTGACGCCTGCTGCTGCTGTATATTTGGAGTTTGTGTGTCTCTCTCATCATCATCATGGTGGCTAGGAGATATTAACTCCGTCGCCTGGTATACAGGAGGTCGTAGGTTCCATCCCAACCCTGACGCCTGCTGCTATATATTTGGAGTTTGTGTGTCTCTCTCATCATCATCATGGTGGCTAGGAGATGTTAACTCCGTTACCTGGTACGCAGGAGGTCGTGGATTCCATCCCGACCCTGACGCCTGCTGCTGTATATTTGGAGTTTGTGTCTCTCATCATCATCATCATCACGGTGGCTAGGAGATGTTAACTCCGTCGCCTGCTATGCAGGAGGTCGTGGATTCCATCCCGACCCTGACGCCTGCTGCTGCTGTATATTTGGAGTTTGTGTGTCTCTCTCATCATCATCATGGTGGCTAGGAGATGTTAACTCCGTCGCCTGCTATGCAGGAGGTCGTGGATTCCATCCCAACCCTGACGCCTGCTGCTGCTGTATATTTGGAGTTTGTGTGTCTCTCTCATCATCATCATGGTGGCTAGGAGATGTTAACTCCGTCGCCTGCTATGCAGGAGGTCGTGGATTCCATCCCAACCCTGACGCCTGCTGCTGCTGTATATTTGGAGTTTGTGTGTCTCTCTCATCATCATCATGGTGGCTAGGAGATATTAACTCCGTCGCCTGGTATACAGGAGGTCGTAGGTTCCATCCCAACCCTGACGCCTGCTGCTATATATTTGGAGTTTGTGTGTCTCTCTCATCATCATCATGGTGGCTAGGAGATGTTAACTCCGTTACCTGGTACGCAGGAGGTCGTGGATTCCATCCCGACCCTGACGCCTGCTGCTGTATATTTGGAGTTTGTGTCTCTCATCATCATCATCATCACGGTGGCTAGGAGATGTTAACTCCGTCGCCTGCTATGCAGGAGGTCGTGGATTCCATCCCGACCCTGACGCCTGCTGCTGTATATTTGGAGTTTGTGGCTCTCTCTCATCATCATCATGGTGGCTAGGAGATGTTCACTCCGTCGCCTGCTATGCAGGAGGTCGTGGATTCCATCCCGACCCTGACGCCTGCTGCTGCTGTATATTTGGAGTTTGTTTGTCTCTCTCATCATCATCATCATGGTGGCTAGGAGATGTTAACTCCGTCGCCTGGTATACAGGAGGTCGTGTGTTCCATCCCAACCCTGACGCCTGCTGCTATATATTTGGAGTTTGTGTCTCATCATCATGGTGGCTAGGAGATGTTAACTCCGTCGCCTGCTATGCAGGAGGTCGTGGATTCCAACCCGACCCTGACGCCTGCTGCTGCTGCTATATATTTGGAGTTTGTGTGTCTCATCATCATCATCATGGTGGCTAGGAGATGTTAACTACCTCGCCTGCTATGCAGGAGGTCGTGGATTCCATCCCGACCCTGACGCCTGCTGCTGCTGTATATTTGGAGTTTGTGTGTCTCTCTCATCATCATCATGGTGGCTAGGAGATGTTAACTCCGTCGCCTGGTATGCAGGAGGTCGTGAGTTCCATCCCGACGCTGACGCCTGCTGCTATATATTTGGAGTTTGTGTGTCTCATCATCATCATGGTGGCTAGGAGATGTTAACTTCGTTACCTGGTACGCAGGAGGTCGTGGATTCCATCCCGACCCTGACGCCTGCTGCTGTATATTTTGAGTTTGTGTCTCTCATCATCATCATCACGGTGGCTAGATGTTAACTCCGTCGCCTGCTATGCAGGAGGTCGTGGATTCCATCCCGACCCTGACGCCTGCTGCTGTATATTTGGAGTTTGTGTCTCTCTCTCATCATCATCATGGTGGCTAGGAGATGTTAACTCCGTCGCCTGCTATGCAGGAGGTCGTGGATTCCATCCCAACCCTGACGCCTGCTGCTATATATTTGGAGTTTGTGTCTCATCATCATGGTGGCTAGGAGATGTTAACTCCGTGGCCTGCTATGCAGGAGGTCGTGGATTCCATCCCGACCCTGACGCCTGCTGCTGCTGCTATATATTTGGAGTTTGTGTGTCTCATCATCATCATGGTGGCTAGGAGATGTTAACTACCTCGCCTGCTATGCAGGAGGTCGTGGATTCCATCCCGACCCTGACGCCTGCTGCTGCTGTATATTTGGAGTTTGTGTGTCTCTCTCATCATCATCATCATGGTGGCTAGGAGATGTTAACTCCGTCGCCTGCTATGCAGGAGGTCGTGGATTCCATCCCGACCCTGACGCCTGCTGCTGTATATTTGAAGTTTGTGGCTCTCTCTCATCATCATCATGGTGGCTAGGAGATGTTCACTCCGTCGCCTGCTATGCAGGAGGTCGTGGATTCCATCCCGACCCTGACGCCTGCTGCTGCTGTATATTTGGAGTTTGTGTGTCTCTCTCATCATCATCATCATGGTGGCTAGGAGATGTTAACTCCGTCGCCTGGTATACAGGAGGTCGTGTGTTCCATCCCAACCCTGACGCCTGCTGCTATATATTTGGAGTTTGTGTCTCATCATCATGGTGGCTAGGAGATGTTAACTCCGTCGCCTGCTATGCAGGAGGTCGTGGATTCCATCCCGACCCTGACGCCTGCTGCTGCTGCTATATATTTGGAGTTTGTGTGTCTCATCATCATCATCATGGTGGCTAGGAGATGTTAACTACCTCGCCTGCTATGCAGGAGGTCGTGGATTCCATCCCGACCCTGACGCCTGCTGCTGCTGTATATTTGGAGTTTGTGTGTCTCTCTCATCATCATCATGGTGGCTAGGAGATGTTAACTCCGTCGCCTGGTATGCAGGAGGTCGTGAGTTCCATCCCGACGCTGACGCCTGCTGCTATATATTTGGAGTTTGTGTGTCTCATCATCATCATGGTGGCTAGGAGATGTTAACTTCGTTACCTGGTACGCAGGAGGTCGTGGATTCCATCCCGACCCTGACGCCTGCTGCTGTATATTTTGAGTTTGTGTCTCTCATCATCATCATCACGGTGGCTAGATGTTAACTCCGTCGCCTGCTATGCAGGAGGTCGTGGATTCCATCCCGACCCTGACGCCTGCTGCTGTATATTTGGAGTTTGTGTCTCTCTCTCATCATCATCATGGTGGCTAGGAGATGTTAACTCCGTCGCCTGCTATGCAGGAGGTCGTGGATTCCATCCCGACCCTGACGCCTGCTGCTGTATATTTTGAGTTTGTGTCTCTCATCATCATCATCACGGTGGCTAGATGTTAACTCCGTCGCCTGCTATGCAGGAGGTTGTGGATTCCATCCCGACCCTGACGCCTGCTGCTGTATATTTGGAGTTTGTGTCTCATCATCATGGTGGCTAGGAGATGTTAACTCCGTCGCCTGCTATGCAGGAGGTCGTGGATTCCATCCCGACCCTGACGCCTGCTGCTGTATATTTTGAGTTTGTGTCTCTCATCATCATCATCACGGTGGCTAGATGTTAACTCCGTCGCCTGCTATGCAGGAGGTCGTGGATTCCATCCCGACCCTGACGCCTGCTGCTGTATATTTGGAGTTTGTGTCTCTCTCTCATCATCATCATGGTGGCTAGGAGATGTTAACTCCGTGGCCTGCTATGCAGGAGGTCGTGGATTCCATCCCGACCCTGACACCTGCTGCTGCTGCTGCTATATATTTGGAGTTTGTGTGTCTCATCATCATCATGGTGGCTAGGAGATGTTAACTACCTCGCCTGCTATGCAGGAGGTCGTGGATTCCATCCCGACCCTGACGCCTGCTGCTGCTGTATATTTGGAGTTTGTGTGTCTCTCTCATCATCATCATCATGGTGGCTAGGAGATGTTAACTCCGTCGCCTGGTATGCAGGAGGTCGTGAGTTCCATCCCGACGCTGACGCCTGCTGCTGCTGTATATTTGAAGTTTGCGGTGTCTCTCTCTCCGTGGTCGCGTGAAAATGTATCCCGGTCGTCCGGGTTTTTTCTCCACATTTATAATCAAGACGCGTTTAGACTACTTGGCTGATATAAATTGCGACGTGATTTTCAGCCCGGGGTGACATTCAACAAATTTTAATTTCAAGAATGATTGAATGAGAAATCGGCTGTACCCCACGCCATCGGTTGGCGACACACTCTGACAATGCAGTTGCACGGAGTCTGCCTGACCGAGTGTCGTACACTTATACGCAGAATGTTTCAGATTTTTTATTTTTTTTCGGGGGTGACAATTGTCTACCCTGTCACCCCCCTGGCTCCGCTCCTGGATAAGCCACTTCGTTGAGCTGTCATTTGTGGCCAGGATACTTCTGGAAAAGAGCTATATATCATTGGGCCTTACCTGGTAAAATAAAAAGTAAAAAATAGTAAATAGCTCACCGCACCCCTGCTGTACTCACACTATTACTGAAACAATACAACTGAATTAAATAATACACTTATTAGTAAGCATGAAGGGAAAATAGGTACAAGGAGCCTTAAATAAATAAAGGGGTTGACAAACCTAGAATGTTACGTTATTCACACGGCCGATACGTTCTAGATCAAAAGGTTTTGACTGCTAAAAGAATGTCCGTCTATTCTCCTATAGTTGTGGCTCCAGTACCTAGCAAGGTGGAGAAGGGGATCAATGGGATGGAGAAGGGGATCAATGGGGTGGAGAAGGGGATCAATGGGATGGAGAAGGGGATCAATGGGGTTGAGAAGGGGATCAATGGGGTGGAGAAGGGGATCAATGGGGTGTAGAAGGGGATCAATGGGGTGTAGAAGGGGATCCAATGGGGTGGAGAAGGGGATCAATGGGGTGAAGGGGATCAATGGGGTGGAGAAGGGGATCAATGGGGTGAAGGGGATCAATGGGGTGTAGAAGGGGATCAATGGGGTGGAGAAGGGGATCAATGGGGTGGAGAAGGGGATCCAATGGGATGGAGAAGGGGATCTAATGGGGTGGAGGGGAATTGAGCAATTGATCTGTCCTAGGGCTAAGAGAAGATGACTTAAGAGAGAAAGGTGTTCTTTTTAACGTTATATGATACTGGGCCACATGTGTAAATTAAAAATTCACATGACAGGAAACAGTTAATTGCTACACAAGCTGAGTTATCCAAAAATATTTTTTTAAACATTCAGAAATTAATTCAGACATGGAACCACAACACAAGCGTATAATTGCAGTACACGCATGTCATGCACACAAAAACGCCATTTGATAGTCAAATATTTAAGCAGAAGAGTTTATTTTTTATTTTTTATGTTTGTTTAAAAAGTATCTACAGTCATACATTGACCATGGAATGCCTACAAATGAGCACCGCTAACTTAATCCTGCGGTACAGCTTCAGTTTTAAAGGTCAGGTTTTCTGAACTTTATAGAGTCCTGTTTTTTTAAATTTGTGAATCACGCTTTAAATTGCGGCTCAAAGGCAATAATATGCCCTCCGCCTTTCTTCGAAAACCGAAATAATTGTCACGTTCAAAATGCCTGACCTTTGAAAATTATATAAATAAATAAAAATACAGTGTTCCCCTAGCCTTCAATTAAGCGCGGACCTATGTCATCATTAATTAAGGGTAGTGAAGACGTATATTCTTAAGTATTACGGTACAATAATATTATACAGTTCTTTAATTGATTAGACACAAACATACACACACACACGAGGCTTGTTATACGCATAACACAAAAACATTCCACCAATATGAACAACCTGGATTAGTTGGATTCAAGAATGTAGAATGTGCCACTCCGTATTTTTCATCTCAAGTTGGGTCAATGGCACCTGGTATCAGTGACACAAAACATGATCGAGACAACTCTGCATTGCTTGGGCTGGGCTGGGCAGCAGACTTCGGGAAATGAAGCTTGATTATTATGGACTGTCTGCCACACAACATATAGTTTTTTTTATTCGGCCACAGTCCTGGTTTTCACGTCTGTCAATGTTTCTCTTCTGCCTTTACAAGCAACTGTCTTTGCGGCGGGTCTGTTAATTGGTAGACTTGGAAAGTTGACCTGCATCAAGGGGATTGGGAGGATTAGAGTATACAAACCACTAACCCCGTTCTAAAATCTGAAGCCAAAGGAATGTGTAAACTTTTTAATAAACACATTCCTCCCCACCGTACATCATGTGATGTTTACCAAGCAAGCAATGTGACGTTTGAATGGTGAATACTGCACTGCTAGACATTTAAATATGGTCCAGATGGAGATGGAGAAGCCTGAGAAATGGCACTCGAGAATCTGTAGCTGTGCCAAGTTGAATTCATATCGTCGAAATCTATGTCTAATTTATATGGCTGCTGCATATCGTATGACAGTTTCTGTGCCATGTTAGCAGCCCAAGTGCCACCAGCAGCCACAATTGGTCCAGGTGACTGGGCACCCAGCCATTTGGTCAGTAAGCCGGCCCTGGAATTCGGCCACTGCAGACTTGGCACAGTTTGTATCAGCAGAATACTGTTGGTAGTTTGATAGCCCGACAACTCCCAGTATCCCAGACAATCCCTGCTTCTACCACTGCCTCACCACAGCTTTGAAGCGATTCCTCTTAATTGTAGCAACGTTGCCATCCTTGTGACAGTGTGCACAGGTGGCTGTGCTGTCCACAAAACTCTTATTCACAATGAAGACATGTTCTTTGAGGCATTGATTCGTGGTTGTTGGTGGCTGGGGTTGTTAAATGATATATATCAGTTAACCGGTAATTGTTTTAAGAATTGATTCCCGATTCCGAAAGTCAGGAATAGCTCAAATCGCACGGTAGCAATCGTAAGGCACCAGCAGCAGACCTAAGTCTCCGCGTGGTACATGTGTCCTTGTTTCTCTTTTAAGATGTAAAGGTGCAGCCCTACTGACCAAACATTGTAAAATGTGGAAGTACCCACACTTTACCCCACCGCACGCGACCTGGACAGAAGCGCGGGGGGAGGGAGGAATTTAAGAAATGTGCATCCCTGTTTAAATTCCCGTGCCGGGACATGGCGTCAAACGAGCAACCTCTGGGTTGCAACGTCACGGCAGCTCCCTTCGTTTTTTATTTCAACATTTTAAATTGTTATTCATTTCAATGTGCCGTAAAACAGTTACAGTTTTAACCATTTTCCATGCGGTTATTGATCTTGAAAAATATAACAATTCAACAACCCTAGTGGGTTGTTAACATGTTTTTGGTAATCGTGGTGGCAGTGGTGGTGACAGATACAATGTATTGGTAGTGGTGACACGAGCATTGATGGTGGTGGGTTCTTGTTTACATCTTTCAAAGTACATAGAGATGTACTTACAGCTTTCTTGTCAGGTGACTTTTGTAAAAAAATGAATATAACTGAAGTTTAGCTGTGATCAGCGTTGCAAATTTGCCCAGGTTATCAAAGCAATGTTAAACTACAACTGTAGTGTATGTGGAATTTGACTTTGCTGATCTGCAGAAAGCTTGGCCTGTTATTTTAAGGAATTATTAATATCCACAGCAGATGGTTAATTTCGCGGATCTGTTAGCAGGCCAGCAATAGAGCTGTGTGTACCAATGCAGAATTTGTACCACCACAAATGGTGATACGAAGTTGTCCCTTTTCCAAATAATTTGAGGCGTCAGTGAAGCTTTACTGAGCAGAGGTAAAACTGTCACAGGCAATACACATCATTGCATATGTTATATACTTAAGTTACAATGACAGTACGATTTAAGGGTTTGTATACAGGCACAGTCATAGCACCCATGCCTTTCCCTGGTAGTGATGGTGTGAGGCTCAGCATAATGAACACTGGGCCACGAGTCGGCTTGTGCCAATCTTTGACTTCAGACCACCGAACCACTTACGGATGTTTAGCGATGAAATCCGAGTCGTCAGAAATTTCGTGAGAAACGCACAGCAGGTTCCAGCGACGGGGAGCGTGGGGGAAGCTCGCATGCACTGCTGCTTTAAAAGCCCTTCTGGGTCTGATGTCAACTCTACACTTAGCCTTGTTTAAAAAAAAACGTGTTTGTGTGTTGCTACCGCTGTGATTATCAACACCATTTCCGTTTCGATATTTTTAATATTTGGGTGGGCGTCTTAATCGAGCGGAATAACCATTTCAGCGGCAGAGAGAATACAGCAGTCAGGGTCGCCTACTGTGATAAATCCGAGACGTAACGTCTGTGGTGTGAGGGTGTGTCGGGTTCAGTGGACGATGGGGGTGCTGCTATATATATAAAATACACGAGGTTCCTCCAGGGTAGGAGCACTGAAATTTTGAATGAGGACCCTAATCTCATATTAAAACATGATGCATGCACGGTGGATGTTTTTGCATCATTGATGTGTTTCTCTGTGGCACGCTGCAGTTTTTTTTTCAAATTCCCAAGGCACATTTGCTTTCTGGAATTTTATTGTTTCAAGAAACCAAAGTTTCATAACTATAACTGACTGCTCATGGATACCCACATTCCCGGGCATTCTCCTTTAGGTTTGCGTGTTAGATTTCAACGCATTCCTTGTTGTGCTATTTACTGTCTTATTTACAGCCCACCATGGAAATCGTTACAGCGAGGGGACATGGGGTGGCCTGCATGCTGCTGCTGCCGTTGCTGATCTCTCTATTAGGGAAACAATCTTCCGGATGCAAATATTGGCATTATGTGCCGTCGTGTTCCGAGTCCTTAACAGGAGAAGGGCACCTCGATATACTCGGAGCAATTTGAAATACAATGAAGTATCTGCTTTTGGTGATGGTGGAATTTCAACCAGACCCTCGTTTCACCCATAGTATTTACTCCCATAGATACAACTGATTAGAATATATATATTTTTACCATGAATACAGCTTCGGCAAATGCAATTTTATGTGCAACTCACAAAATGCACTCATCTACATGACTGAGTTGAAATGACACTATTGAAACGTGTCATATGCCTCGTCATTCTGCAAATTCATGTTGACTGCATTCATGGTGAAAATATCTAGTGGCGTAATTAAGATATTAATGTTATAATTAATGCAAAGTTAATATGTACATAAGCTCATAATACACCATTAACATGCTTACTTAATCGTAGGCTTTGACGTGTTTAAAAAAGTGTTCTGTGTGCCTCAGCATGTGCCTACATTATAAAGTATTCACACATATATATACATAATTATATATGTGTACAAATATGGTTTTATACAGCATATAATTATATATTTATACGTAACAAAATACGTTATGTGTACAGGGTGTGTCTTTTAAAAGTGTAGCCAGGGAATATTTAATAATAAAATGTTACTTGGGGACACTCTTAAAAGTCATACCATGTATATGCCGCAAAGACGTTAATGCCTTTGCGGCATATGATTACACACATATGATTACACACGCGAACATAGGAAAATAAAAATAAGATATTCCTTAGCCGCTTATATGAGATTAAATGTGAGGCATTCATTTGTAGCCGCGCACATGTGCTTGATAGGCGTGTACCAGTGTGTGTTCAAGTCTGACTCGGGTATCGTTGCATCTGTGTGTACCCGTATATGTGTACACGCATCGTTGTGCATCTCAGAAATAAATTGGTACAATATATATGAATTGCAAAAAGTTGCATGAAACGCCTTGGTTATATTTTCGCACTTATGTTCTTAAAACGACGTGGGAAATTTTCACTTCAAGGAGGCCAAATTCACGACTTGACAAAACGGCTCGAACACATCACACCGCCGGATTGCCCCATTGTCGCGAATGGAGTCATTTCCATGAAAGTGCTCCCCATGTCACGGAAATGTCACGGATGAAGACACCCTCGACAACAAGGGAATTGTGCCTCAAGTGTTTTATACAACCGGCCCATGGAATGTGACTTCTCATCCCAAGATGCATCATTTATTCTGATGTCAAACTGTCCAACGAGTAATTCTTTCAGGCCAGGGTGAAAATTATCAAGGTGCATTCCAAATCGCGAGGCAGCACTTATACATGCGGGTATTCGGACTGAGCTAGGAGGGCTGACCCTTGGTCAAACCGCCACATGGTTATAAGTCGCACACAGATCTTGTACAGCTATATCATTCATAATACCATTTTTTGGGTTTGATCGCGTTATTATGTGTCGCAACCCTCCACCACCCGACACGGCCAATCAGTAAAAAATGTGTCACGTTAACAAAATGCCAATTAGTTACTTCTTCAACCCACTGGTGTGTTTGAAGAATGAATCCACAACATTTAGCTATATCATCTTAAGATTTTCACCATTATGCATCAGTGTCGCAGCCGAAACCTTTCAAATTTATGTCGCTGCCAATAACAACAAAGTACAGTAATAGCTAAGAATGACTGGTATGTGTGGCTCTCCTGGGTAATTGTGTAATTATTATCATATAATGTAAAATAGGTAATGATTCTCATTTGGCTCTCATGCAATTAAATAAATGGCATTGAATACAGGCTGCCTATATTTGTGTCCATTATACATTTTTCGTTCATTCCTATGAAGCCAAATATTGCCTTATGGTTGTATGACAAAAGAGCTGAATAAATGTCACTCCTACCTTAATCCAAACTCGTACACACACTCCAAACACACACTCTACATCCCTAGATTAAGTCTGCCAATACTTATTTAATTTACAAATGCGACTTCTGCGATTTAATTTCTGTTCTGCAAACCACGTTTCTTTCGCTATTGTGATACATTTATAATTCATGCAGGGCTCCGAAAAAAATCGAAAGAAATATTTGTTTAAAAAAAACGTGAACTGCATGTTCTGCATTGCGCTTGTCTAAACAATACGAAACAACAGCTGCCCTGTGGAGATGCCCACATTCACTCTCCACATGTCCTGTGTGTTTGCTAGGTTGGTACGTGTGTGTTTTTTCGTATCAAAGTGCGTCGTCCACTGTGAGGCTGGACGTTAGTCACCCTGTGGTTTCATTTGCTAAAATTGGCCGATGTTATATGGGTGCCGTGGCCCCAACGAACACCATATGAAAAGAAAACACCGACTTTCAGTGATGTAAAAAAAATATCCTCGAAAATTGTCTTTCCTTACAAAAATAATTGCTGTAACAAAGCACTGTCACCTGGTTAAATAAAAAGAAATAACGTTTTTAAGAACCCAGTAATAAGTGCGACAGTCAGGACACGCTCATTATGCCCAGCCAGTGCTCATAAGATAGAATGTTAATAAACAAACAATTTACGAAATGATTAAATGGGGAAGTGATTTGTGTAGGAACAATAAAAAAACGTAATCAATAAAAAATATTAAGTTACAAGCACGTGTTCAGCAAGGTGCAAACCTATTTCAACAGGGGCATTTTGGTGGCAGATATTTTGTTGTTTTAATGTTGTTATAATAGTCCCTTGCATTATTCTCAGATTATGAATTGAAAGAAAAAAAACCCTGCACCTCAATAACTAATGCTTATATTTAACCAAAGGCCCAGTGTCAGTGTTGGTGGATTGATATGAACCACTTTGTCCACCAATTTTCAGTGGAAAAATGGCAAAGTTTGTGGAAACCTTTTTTTTCTGCAAAACATTGGCAGAGACAGCTTTTCAGCAGGGACATAAATTAGGCCCCGGGTGCTTGTTATCAACAGGCCTGCCTTGCTAAAAACAAACATTGCTGTGCCCCACTTATAAATACTCAATTAAAACATTAAGGTCAATCATCCACACAGCCACATGGCAAATGTACACACTGACGGCGGCCCCATGCCATTTTGCCTTCGAATCGCTATTAACGGACTACCCTGCATTTTTTGCTCACAATCGTCAATCTCTGGAATTCATAAATCGCTCGTCTCTTCGAAATTTTGTTTTGTGTCAGCCAAGTTACGCACTCTGGTTAGAGCGCTCAACTCACAAGGTCGTGAGTTTTAAACCGAGTTGTGGATTGGGACAGTTAATTTGCCATAATTCCTCCATGGATGATTAAAATGTGTATCACTGTGGGTAGTTGAAAGTGGTTGTTCTATGCAAGGGATAGCCCCGACATACTAATGTGGAATTTCCCACCACTAGCTCGGGGCTGTTCGAGTCAACACGTGCCACCCCATGCTCACTTAACCAGAGAGACACTTTGATTAAAGGATTCCATAACGGTAATAATGCTATATTTTGAATGCATGATGATAGTGTTATACTTTGAATAGAAAGTTCGCCTAAGAAGAAGTCTTTGAGTGAAATCCCAACTTGCGTTTATAAATTCCAATGAAGCCGCTGCAATCACATTCCAGTTATGTATTCTTCTCTCACCTGCACATGCTGTGTGGAAGCAGAAGAGTAGAGTTACAATTCGTGATCTTGTTAGATTTAAGTCATGAGCCGGTTCTAAATGGATCACAACAATAATAATAAAACTACTTGTATTGATTATTCACAATTTAAAATATGAAAACTGTTTTTGTCAAAAATTCAAACATATTAAGAAGAGCGATCACTGTCTTATAACGTTTTGAGAGATTGTAATGCCAACATTCTTGCCCAAATGAAAATAATATTTTAAATGACAATGTGAAGTCCTCTTTAATCATCCTCACATGGGTAGCAGAACTCCTTCCTCCTTAACTAATTCTCTTGCTCATTACGAGTGAGCAACATAAAACAAAGATTCTACGTAATTTAAGTAATAAACACAAATCTGCAGGGTTTACGTCTCCCACGTGCCAAACCACTCGGTTTTCGAACATGAAAACAATACTGTACATTGATCAGACATTTCCTCGGGGGTTTTTGTTTGTTGTATTGGTCTATACCTGATCATTCGCGATATCCACAGCTCATGTGATACACGCGCTTGTATACTTTTTGTTCATTTCCAGGCCAACAGCACAATAACATTACTTTTGGAATCACAATGAAACGACATCGTACCGACAAAAGAGACCGATTAAAGTAAAGGTCTCTTAAAACATTAACTTTTAAAACGGCACAACAGCTCTGCATAGCGTAAGCTAAATAATGATACAGTTTATAAAAAGTGAGCCTTTTTTTTTAAATACCAACTTGTTCTTGACCCAATTTCCCAACACCGCTTGAGAGCACCACAGTCTCAAATGGCTTGGAACTGACTAGAGGGTAAAATCTGTCCTGCATATCAAGCTCGATTATGGCAAATATATAATTTTTCCATTCCCCAGATGCTGCCCATTATGATTTGCGACGTCTTGAAACCGCAAGCTTCATGACGGGAGCAAGCAGTGTGTGTCGTCCGTTTCACTCTGCGTCGCGTACTTTAAGTTTTAATCCGCGATCACCAGTGGCAACCAATTCACCTCTCTGTTAGAAAATAATAATCGGTGCTATCCCCTCGAATGCCTGGGTTTTCTCCAAGCACTCTGGTTTCCTCTCGCCGGGAAGATGCTCAAATTAGGAATATGCCAATTATCCTAAGCAGGGCCCTCTTGAAAACTAGTCGTGGGACACGGCGACGTTTTCCTGGGCGAATAAAGACATTATTAAAGTTGTTGATCAAGAAAAGTGGCAATACATAATTGGCAACAGTGTATGTTACAAGACATATAAACACCCACCTTGCCTGTACTTACAATCCACACGCACCCACGCGCACACACATGCGCGCACGCACGCACAGCACCCTTATATCTCATTCCTTCATCCCCTTGCGCAGAGCCAGGCGGCCACTGGCGGCAAGAGCAGCACGAAAAGCCGGCCGCCCGGCGATAACGTCAACAGGGCCGTCGCCATCGTCGCCGCCGCTCCCGTCGCTGACGATGACGACGACGACGATGAGAGGCGAGGAACATTCTTCTGAGAGCCCGGGCTCTCGGTTCCCGACGACTCGAAGTCCGGCGAGCATGGCTCCTCCATGCAGCCGCTTCCAGAGCCGCTGCTGTCATCGCCTACGCACGCAAAAAAGACGAAGATTCCCCACGGCGCGTTGACAGACTCTTGGGGCAAGTGCCGTTATCGAGGAGCACCGATGAAGGAGAGCATGGCACGTGAGGGGGTGGGTAGCCAGCACCACGCCTGGCTGCTTTTGTCTCCCCAGTGGCGATGTTTACACACCGCACCAAGGGCAGGCCCAGGACAGTTTCAGATAAACATCACTGATGTTGGCCGGAGTCACCAGGTTCATCGCGCCGCGCGCTAACCACTGCACTACCGCTTCCCCCACTACGCACACACAGACAAAGATCCCCCGTGTAACCTGAGCAGACTAGGAGCAAGTGCTGTTTGCTACGCACACACAGACTGACAAAGATCCCCGCTCCCCCCCCCTTCCGTATAGCCTCGCCGAACATCATTTGTAGTAAACACGAGGGAGCTCACCGCGGGCCTCAGAATCAGAATTTGTATTTATATTGGAAAAATCCGATGGGCTATGAAGCTCTTCTCCAAAAGAGGTCCAGTGGTTTTCACAGATGTCCGTTAGACGTCTGGACTCGTTGGCGGGCGCCGCTACTCAAGAGGGGTCGGGCGAGGTGCGAGAGTCGCGCGGCCAGCGGCGCCACAGACCCACACGGCGGGGCCTCACCGTTGTCCTGGAAGTCGACGTCGTTGCCGCTGTAGGCGTTCCTCAGACGGTTGGTCGCGACGCGCAGCGCCATGATGTGCTGCCGCACCAGCGCCGACGGCCTCGTGATGTCCACCTCCACCTCCGGGTTGTTGATCTGGTTCGCCAGCCCGTCCATCATCACGTCCGGCAGGTAGCTGGGGAAACAACACGGCGGGCATCACGCCGTCACCGGGCGACAGGGGTCACGCGCCGCGCTAGCGCTCGTTCCTCGCGGCAAGAAGCGCGCTGCGGTACGAACCGCAGCGCGCTAAACCGGCCCGCCCCCCCCCCCCCCCCCCCCCCCAACATGTATAAATATACAGTACATGGACAAAAAGACAAAGATTCCCCGTATAGTCTGAACAGACTGTTGGTGCAAGTGCTGTTAGCGAGCACCTATGATGACCGACACGGCACACGAAGGGGGTGGGTGGCCAGCAACACGCTCAACCGCCTTTGCCTCCCCAGTGGCGATGTTTTTACACTTCGCACCAGGTACTCATTTGTGGCCGAGTCTACCTCGGGGAGGCCCAGGACCGGTTGAGATAAATCGTCACTGTTGTTGATGGCCATGAGCGGGAATCGAACTCGCATCACCGGGTTCGTCATGCAGCGCGCTAACCGCTACACCGCCGCTTCCCACAGTACATGGACAACACCCGCACAAACTCACGTGCTTGTACACATGCACATAATAATGCACTCGAAAAGATGAACACTACACGAACATCGCCCACATAACCTTTAGACTGTTGGGGCTAGTGCTGTTTGTGAGCACTTACCAAGGCCCACTTAGCACGTGGCACCATGCCCGGCCACCTTTATCTTCCCAGTGCTTATATTTTACACGCTGAGCCGGTTCATCAGTGAACGTTGAGTTGACCTAGGGGAGGCCCAGTACAGAAGTACTGATACCACTTGCAAATGATGCAAGCCGTGGCCGGTAATCAAAATCAGGTCGCTGGGCTCATAGTGCAGTGCACTGACCTTTGCACTACCACTCCCCCTCCCCCAACACACACAGACACACACGTACGTCCATACACGCTCACACATGCATGCACGCACACACGCGTCATTACGCCGGCAAACATGCGCATGCAAAGACAAAGTTCCCCGTGTAGCCTTAACAGCCTGTTGGGGCAAGTGCTGTTAGCGAGCACCTATGAAGGCCGGAACAACACACAAGGAGGTGGGTGGCCAGCACCACGCCCGACCACCTTTGTCTCCCTAGTGGTGATGTTTACACACTGCAACAGGTACTCATTTGAGGCTGAGTCGACCGAGGGGAGGCCCAGGACCGGTTCAGATAATCGTAACTGCCGTTGGCCGTGAGCGGGACTCAAACTCAGGTCGACGGGTTCGTAGCGCAGTGCGCTGACCGCTACACTCCACCGCTCCACACAAACATGCACTCACAGACACACACACAACGTACAAACGCACGAAATGCAAACGCACAACCAGCCCATGAAAACTCAGTCAATTACGACGGACGCCCCCCGTATCGATTTGAGAAATAAACGTTGCGAGACAGCGCGCCTCCAACGTCTCCACCACCCCCCTCTCCTGACCCCCCCCCCCCCCCGCCAGCCGTCCATCGACCCGTCCAAGCATATTTTTCCAATTTTCCAAGGGGTCGTTGGATCGTAAAACTTTTGGGGAATCAATTGTAATGGCACATTCGAAATTACACGCCGCGGTAACGGGCTGGAACAAGCGAGCAGCGGGTTGTGGAGCGAGGGCGACGTGGAGTTAGTGTAGGGGGCGGGGGGGGGCTGAGTATTGAACGCACTGGGGAGGTGAAGCCTACAGAGACTTTACCCGGACCCAATTTCATAATTTATTTGCGCGATAATCAATTTAGGAGTCTGTGTGTGTGTGTGGGTCTTTGATTTTTTCTTTTTTACATAATTTATATCGGGGAGGGGGTGGGTAAGATGAGTGAGTTGATTGTTGATGGTCCCCGCCCTGTCGCTAATGATTGCAAACACACAAACACACACGGATACAGTGAGGGAAAAAAAGTATTTGATCCCCTGCTGATTTTGTACGTTTGACCACTGACAAAGAAATGATCAGTCTATAATTTTAATGGTAGGTTTATTTGAACAGTGAGAGACAGAATAGCAGCAAAAAAAATCCAGAAAAACGCATGTCAAAAATGTTATAAATTGATTTGCATTTTAATGAGAGAAATAAGTATTTGACCCCCTCTCAATCAGAAAGATTTCTGGCTCCCAGGTGCTGCTGAGATTAGGAGCATACTCTTAAAGGGAGTGCTCCTAATCTCAGCTTGTTACCTGTATAAAAGGCACCTGCCCACAGAAGCAATCAATCAGATTCCAAACTCTCCACCATGGCCAAGACCAAAGAGCTCTCCAAGGATGTCAGGGACAAGATTGTAGACCTACACAAGGCTGGAATGGGCTATAAGACCATTGCCAAGCAGCTTGGTGAGAAGGTGACAACAGTTGGTGCGATTATTCGCAAATGGAAGAAACAAAAGAACTGTCAATCTCCGTCGGCCTGGGACTCCATGCAAGATCTCACCTCGTGGAGTTGCAATGATCATGAGAACGGTGAGGAATCAGCCCAGAACTACACAGGAGGATCTTGTCAATGATCTCAAGAAAGCTGGGACCATAGTCACCAAGAAAACAATTGGTAACACACTACGCCGTGAAGGACTGAAATCCTGCAGCGCCCGCAAGGTCCCCCTGCTCAAGAAAGCACATATACATGCCCGTCTGAAGTTTGCCAATGAACATCTGAATGATTCAGAGGACAACTGGGTGAAAGTGTTGTGGTCAGATGAGACCAAAATGGAGCTCTTTGGCATCAACTCAACTCGCCGTGTTTGGAGGAGGAGCAATGCTGCCTATGACCCCAAGAACACCATCCCCACCGTCAAACATGGAGGTGGAAACATTATGCTTTGGGGGTGTTTTTCTGCTAAGGGGACAGGACAATTTCACCGCATCAAAGGGACGATGGACGGGGCCATGTACCGTCAAATCTTGGGTGAGAACCTCCTTCTCTCAGCCAGGGCATTGAAAATGGGTCGTGGATAGGTATTCCAGCATGACAATGACCCAAAACACACGGCCAAGGCAACAAAGGAGTGGCTCATGAAGAAGCACATTAAGGTCCTGGAGTGGCCTAGCCAGTCTCCAGACCTTAATCCCATATAAAATCTGTGGAGGGAGCTGAAGGTTCGAGTTGCCAAACGTCAGCCTCGAAACCTTAATGACTTGGAGAAGATCTGCAAAGAGGAGTAAGACAAAATCCCTCCTGAGATGTGTGCAAACCTGGTGGCCAACTACAAGAAACGTCTGACCTCTGTGATTGCCAACAAGGGTTTTGCCACCAAGTACTAAGTCATGTTTTGCAGAGGGGTCAAATACTTATTCCCCTTATTAAAATGCCAATCAATTTATAACATTTTTGACATGCGTGTTTCTGGATTTTTTTGTTTTTATTCTGTCTCTCACTGTTCAAATAAACCTACCATTAAAATTATACACTGATCATTTCTTTGTCAGTGGGTAAACGTACAAAATCAGCAGGGGATCAAATACTTTTTTCCCTCACTGTACACACAGACACACACAGACACACACAGAACCATCCCCGCCCAAGCACAGTTCTGAGCGCTGTCATATAAAATGTCAGTTCGACGGCCGTGCGACAAACACTCCGAGGGACAAACGGCCGTGTCACCTCGCGTGGACAAGCGATGTCAGAATTAGTTCTGCGACGTCATCTACAGTGGCAGACCTTAATCCTGCCCCAGAAAGCAATCTGTCTTCTCTTCCAAAGCGGTTCATGTCGCCAGGGTCAATGCCAACAACGGCGGCACGCACGACCGCCCCACCGCGCCTCTCCTGGTCAAGACCCCGCAGCTGTTGCACAGTCGACACCCGACCTCCACGAACGGCGCCATCTGCCCCCAGGTCGAACAGTCTCCTCATCCTCATCATCGCGACCCGCAATGCTTCACTGCTCTATTCTGCCGCCAAATTCCCGGCTGCCTCCGCGTGCGCCCGCACTCAAACTCAAGCTTTGCGGTAACGGGGACACTGCTCCCGGCATCAAACGCCCGTCTTTTAACAACCGGGAGTCTCTCGCCCATCCTCTTTGTTTCATCGCTTTGATTCCAGCGCACTTTCAATTGTTGACCTTTGGTACACACAAAGTATCCCACAAACAGATATCTACAACTGTTCCGAGCGGACGAGCGATCGGAGGGGGGGTGGTGGTGCTCACCGCCCGCGCATCTGTCCGTTCCAACACTTGTCATCGACGAGGCCGGCCGCGTGCTCCTCAGAGCACACGGCGTAGGGGAGCGTCGCCCAGAACGACCTGGCTTGCCGCAGCCGCTCCTTCACGTCCACCACCTACGGGGGGAGGGGCAGGCCCGAGGGGGGAAGCGGCGAGAGTGAGGCGGCAGCGCTGGAAAGTAGTCACGATTCCTGGGCGCTCGGGAGGTCGCGAACCACGACACGGCCGGTTGCCCACGTGCATAGACACACACACACAGGAGTGGAAACATACATGTCTGGATAGCGCTGGACACAAGGGTCAATATCTGTTGAATCGAGCTTCAGTTTGGGGTTGTAACGATACATTTATTCATCAATTAAAATCTCTCCTCACGCTCACAACGCATGTACCGATCAATTGTTTACTGTTTATAAAAAAATATTGGATGCAAATAATTTGCAAGCGTTTCCTTTGGCTTAAATCAATGAACGAAATAGAAACACGCTGGCATACGCGACAGGCCGTACGGGGCGACGGTACGAAGCGCAGAGTTCAAACCAGATAGTAAGAATCAGACGATCCCCAGTAAACATACTTTTTGAATGGAATTGAGGGGCAACACTGGAAAACTTCATAATCCACAAAGTGTCATTCTCCACAAGCCAGGATTTTGTTGAGATTAGACGGATTATGTGGATACAGAATTATTTTTTATTAAGTTCATTGTCTGGGCCATCTGTGGGGTAAGGATACAATGAAAATGATCAAACGTGGATTGTAACGTGTGCCAATGAAGCCAGAATGAGTTTATGAAACAATACATATTTATATGTGTGTGCGTGTGTGGGTTATTCCAGTTTTCCAGGACACACACCCTCAATTGTAACCTTGAATCGCGGCAATGCATAGAATCATCACAGGGGGAAAAGGAAATGGGGAGGTCATCACACGTCCAACCACTGAATAGACCAGAGACTTACTCAATGTGCATATGAATACAGTGATAACAAAAACAATGTGTCGATCCACTGCCAAAGGAAATGTCCTTCACTCCATGTCAGACACGGCAGATGTTTTCACCGTACTGCACCAACGCTGGCCATTGCGGGTGAGGAGGTGGGTGGTGGGGAGCGGTGGCGCAACGGTTAGCGCTACGCTGCGCTACGAACCCAGCTACCCCAGTTCGATTCCTGCTCCCGGCCAACACCGGTGACGATTAGTTGAACCGGCCATGGGCATCCCCTAGGTCGACTCAGCCTCAAATGAGTACCCGGTGCGGTGTGTAAAAACATCGCCACTGGGGAGACAAAGGCGGTCGGGCGTGGTGCTGGCCACCCACCCCCTAGTGTGCCGTTCCGGCCTTCATAGGTGCTGCTCGCTAACAGCACTTGCCCCAACAGCCTGTTAAGGCTACACGGGGGCTCTTTGTCTTTTCTGGGCCGGTTCATATATCACTGCCACTGATGGTAGCTGTGGCTGGGACTCGAACTCAGGTTGCCGAGTTATTTGACACAACTGCTCCACTTCTCCCCTCCTCCCGTTGTACGTGCGTACATACAAATATATCCAGTACATGTCAATAAAGTTTAACCATATTTTCATCATTTACGGGCAACGCTCAACTCTGTGTATTCTGTATGGTCATTTCACTTGCAGTTCCATTCGACACATCTCCCAGTCTGTTTACATACCGGTCCAACAATCGCCCTCAATCCATGTTGACGATTCTGTATTTTAAAAATAATGTCAACTTGTAATGCACAGCACAGTATTGGCACCAACAATTGCCCAAGCTCTGCGGGCCTCCATATATTCAGGTGATGTCGGCCACTGAATGATTGCTTACATTTTTAAGGTAATTTTCCTGAGTCAACTACTGCAAAGGAATGTTTATTTTCAATTAATAATGTACTGCGCATTTTTATAATCTTAGCTCTTTTGGTAAAGTCACGTTGAAGGGAAACAATAAAATAATAAAATATATATAAAACAATAAAATTCTCACGACGTTTCGACCATAACACAAACGGTCATCATCAGGTGTGAAAACCAACGGCAATAAACATTCTTTCAAATTCTTTCAAATGTTTCTTGCCGTTGGTTTTCACACCTGATGATGACCGTTTGTGTTATGGTCGAAACGTCGTGAGAATTTTATTGTTTTATATATATTTTATTATTTATTGTTTCCCTTCAACGTGACTTTACCGAAAGAGCTAAGAATATGAATTACTGCAGTCACGAAAGCTTTAAATCAAAATTGTACTGCACATTATTAATTGTTCAGTCGTTGCGCACTGCCTTCGATTTCTTCTGCAACGCGAAGTAGTTTTTTGCTCTGATTTATGTTTAATTAATTATTGTACTTTATTTTACATTTTGGTTTTTGTCATTTTGGTGGACCCCCCGCCCCGCCAGGTGCCCCTTACAAATGACACTCTCCCTTGTCTTTTGAGTTCTCACTTGCTTAAGCAAAATAAACTTGACGATTGGTGGCTAAACACAAACTTGGCACAGGCTTGCATTTGCCGGAATTTTGAACAGGTTCAGCTACACCCCTCAAAGGCTTTGCGGCTACTTGAATGGGCAAATTCGCCATGGTGGGCGAGATGTTAACTACCTCGCCTGGTACACAGGAGGTCGTGGGTTCGATCCCGACCCTGACGCCTGCTGCTGTATATTCGGAGCTTGCGTGTCTCTCTCCCCGTGGACGCGTGTTTTATTTCTCCGGGTCCTTCGGTATTCCCCTCCACATGTGGACTCAACGTGCATTTGGAGTGTTTGGCTGCTATAAATTTCCACACGATAAGCCACTTCATTGAGCTATCATTTGTTGCCCGGTCGCTTCTCGAAAAGAGCTACGTAGCTCAGTGGGCCTTAGCTGGTAAAATAAAAATAGTTTATAAATTCAGCACGGAGCCAGACTCTTGGGCATGGCGCTCAGTGGCACGCCATTATTTAACAGATGCACGATTTAATTAATCCGAGGATGGGAATGAGTTTAACTGAAGCACCATCCGATTGGGGCAACTGTAGCCCATGACACAGTAATTTCAAAATCAAATTATGCTCGCCGCTGATGGACTGCAATGCTCGCGTTCGTTAAGCCGTTTGGTAATTGCGCTGAAAGCGGGATGAGTGTTTGTGTTTAAATTCAGCATTTCCGCCATTTACCTTGCCTGGTGGGTTTGCGTGGAAGGGGTTTGTGCGTTTTGTCTTCTGCACGGGTATTGCAGTGGTCATCATTGTAACCATCGCTGTCATCGGCAGCAGCAGCAGCAGCATCATCACAAGCAGTAGCATCAGCATGATCAGCAGCAGCATCATCATCATTGGCAACATCACCATCAGCAGCAGCATCGCCATCAGCAGCAACATCATCACTAGCAGTAGCATCGTAATCAGAATCAGCATCATCATCACTCGCAGTAGCATCATCAGCAGCAGTAGCATTGTCAGGAGCAGCAGCATCATAATCATCATCAGCAGCATCATCATCCATCACTAGCAGTCGCATCATCAAGAACAGCATTAGCGGCAGCAGCAGCAGCATCACTAGCACCAGCATTATCATCAGGAGCAGCATCATCACTAGCACCAGCATTATTATCATCATCAGCAGCAGCTTCACTAGCACCAGCATTATCATCAGCAGCAGAAGAAGAATAATCGGCAAGAGCAATCATGATCAGCAGATTCAGAATTAGCAGCAACATCATCATCATCGGCAGCAGCATTATCATTCTCGAAATTACCCACGGTAATTCAATATATGTAGCAAGTATAAATATTTGATTGAGAAAAAGTCAGAATTTCTACGAAATTAAGAGAAGTCCCAAACTGCATGTATTGGAAAGAGCCAGGGCAGCTGTAAGTGTGGGTTTAATGCCCCACGATTCCTCCTTCGAAGCCTCAGGTACATCAGCTGGATCTGGAAGCCGGAGAGCAAATTGGCCAAGTGATTCAATACCCCAGCGAGCAAAGTCAAATGTGCACATACAGCATCGCGTTGATATTAAACTGACCCATCACATCTTCATGTCAGTGCAATTTATATTGTCAAATACAGCTTTGGCCCATAATTTAGACAAAATACAGCCATTTCACATGGAGATTCAGAGAGATCTATCTTATAGCATTGCAAACTGCTGGGACACGTGCTTTTAGAAGCTCTTATCAGATTATTTTGGTTCTATAAATGTCCAAATGATGGTCCACTTTGTTGAGCTATCATTTGTGGCCAGGTTGCTTCTGAATAGTAAGTTCATACCTCAGTGGGCTTTGCCTGGCAGGATGGAGATGGTTTAGTGTTTTGTATGTGTTTGTGTTTGTGTGATTAGTTCACCTTTCTTGTACTTTGCACTCCTATCGCGTTTGTGAACTGTTTGTTGTTGTAACGTTCTTACCTTCCCTTACTGGACATCTGTGAAAAAGAGCTTTATGGCTCATCGGATTCCTCCATTATAAATACATATTCTGATTCTGTACCAGTGGAACAGTTCGTTCGCACACTTGCGCTGTGGATCTGCCCACTTGAGTTTCACTCCCAGCCACGGCTAACGTCAATGGTGGTTGACATGGGAACCCGTCCTGGGCATCATCGCCATTCACCAACCGGCACCGTCCAGCGTGGTGAAGTATGGTCCAACAACTCCCATGACTGATACGACACGGGGGAGCCTTCACTGATGGCGATGCCAGTTTCGCGTCTACATCCACATTTGAATTTGTCTCTCTCATTCGATGTCCCAAGCTAAGCAGGTACTTGAGCCTGGATAGTCCTCGGTTGGCAGACCACAGTGCCTAACAGGTGTTACAGGCTGAGGTGCTATCTGGTGGGCAGCAGAGGGCAGTGCAAAACAAATGCGAATTGTTGCACTGTGCGTCTATGGCTCCCTGCCTTCACCAACCCGGTCCTGACCAGCATAAAGTATGGTCAAATAACCCTCACGGTCCGCACAGCATGAGGAGGCCCTCGTCCAGCAATGGATTGCTCTGTACACACAACAACGATCTTTTACCAAACACGATGACCGCATTGGCGTTACATCGCGGCGGCGGTGATGTTGTCGGTGATGGCGGTGGTGGCGATGGTTGTTTAAGAAGTCGTGGGTGGGGCGATCGGAGCACTTATTGGGCAAACGCGGGGAGGTGAACATGAAATTCCACTCGGGCTGTCAATGTCGGCATCAATCTCACTGGGACGACGGTTCGGGGGCATAAATCAGCAAATCGATGAAAACACAAAAGCAACTCTCGTCCATCTCTATTAAAATAAATCACACTTGTTTTGCAATCTGTGCTCGCGGTAAAAATAAAATGTCTCGTTTTTTTTTACTGCCTGCAAATTTTTACGGACGATTGGCAACCTCCTGCCATGGCAGAAAAAAAACAGCAGACCGGAGCGGGAAAAAAATTAATTCCCGCGTTCCAATAAACGCCGGTAAAGTATGAACGGTAAAGTATGAACAGTGCGCTTTGAAAACCTTCCCCAAGTGGGCCGAGTGCTTAATGAAGGAAAATAAGATTTCTCTCGGGGGGCTTGTACAACGGCGCTCTTTAAAGGGACGGCGTAAAGCGGTACAACAGCGGCTGCTGTTGCAAACCGAAGCGTGCAGTTCCCGCACGTGCCACACACACACACATACACGATGCGTTGTCTCTCTCACCGTGTCGCAACCCAATTTGTGCGATTGCCCGTCATCGTTTTTCAACTCGTGATATGAGAATATCATTCGTAAACTCTACCAGTGCAGCTCATCACACCCCGCGTGTTGGGAGAATGGCACCTGGAAGCGGATCTCAGAACTACTTCTGAAATATCACCAAGTTACCACGAATCCACGCGAAGGGCAGCACTTCCCTGGACACCTTGCTCCAAAGAGATGTGCTCATGTCATGCCAGTCAAACGTATTTGATAAGATTCTCACAGATTTAATGTAATCAAATTAAGTGAAAGCCAAATTTAACAACGACGATTCATATGTTGTGCAGTCATTGGTGACCAGGCTGAGGCCATCGAACTCACTACACTCGAGCACCCAGCTTAATCAGAGGCAGCTGCCCGGGTTCAAACCCAGGGGTCAAGCTGGATGCCAACTCAACACTCTGACTTCTGCATCCCTTGACCACACGGAGAGCGCGAGCGTGCGTTACCCAACATTTTAAACACGTTAGATTAAAAACAAGAACTTAACTTTAACCATCAAGAAAGCAACTCAATGATGTTTCGCCCAGCTGTGGTCTCATCCACGACAGCATGAGCGTTGACAACAATTCGTAGCCGAGCGCGACTCACTAACGAGCCTGAAGCAGGGGGAAACTCACCGCCTGTCCCCCCCTTCCTGCCAACCAATCGCTTACACACCAGCCTTGTAGCGTGACCTCGTTGAAAAACTTGATCGAATGTTTTAACGCCAATTAGAACGAGTAACGATACGGTTAAATATTGTACTGACATTTTTTACTTAATAATTTAGAAAGAGGGCTGAGCCTTCAGCAGAGGGGGTGGGGGCGGGGGCGGGGGGGGGGGGGGCTCAGCCCTCCAAAGCTCCCTGGATGCTCCCGGGCTGTCAAAATGTTAATGTTGGAGTTCAAATCCTGGTCATGGGACAACTCAACTCATCATCTCTTCAGGGTAGATAAAACCGACGCGCCACTGTGCGGGAAGCCACCAGTGGATGACCTACGGAGATAACCATTATATTCCGTGCATGTAGAGTGGCGTTTGCATGAATGCCTCAGCATCGCAAAGCACCTTACATCTCACATCAACCATTCGAAGGGGGACCCCCCCCCCCCCCCCCCCCTGCAGTGGCAGCTGTCCCTGGTGCAGCGCAAGTTGACTCAGCACCGGCCTACAGTCGGGCATTAGCCTGCCAGTAGACAGGGACGATTGCTGCTGTGCGTGATTCCACTTGAGTAATTTGTGGTGTCATGTTTCAAACTTTGGCGAATTTGGGCCATGACGTCGGCACACGATGGCCTCCTCTTTTCGAATGACGTCACGTGATCTTTAACGTCCGCCGCAAAATCGGCCAGCATGTATTTAAATTTAATACATCTGTAGTATTTACCAGATTCGAACCACGAACGTCTGCAACAAACGGCCAACGCGCTTGCCGCTGGGCCACGTCGCTGGCCCCAGCCATGAAAACGTAACAATTGCCACCCCACGGCAGCACTGAGACGCTTACAACAATAAACAGCGTGCACAGCTCGCGGAAATGTCGGGATACATTTTTAAAGAACACATCAATGGATATAAATTCAAATAAGAATGGTCTTACGCCTTGCTGGAATTCTCTCCACTTGTTCCTCTGATATGCGAGCAATGGAGGGGAACATTTCAACCAAATAAAAAAACAACTCAACAAAAATAATGGGGGGGGGGGGGGGGGGAAGATAAAATGGGACAGAGGAGTGGAGGGATACGGGGAGAGTGGCGGGTGGTGGAGACAGAAGGGTAATCCCCAAGATAGAAATTTGAAATGGGAGTCAAAGGTCGCAGAAGGGAAGGACAAGAGATCATTGTTAGCATCATCGCAAATCCCCATTTAACGGAAACATGTGGCCCCAAACACATCACACGCTCGTGTATTATTTCATCTCTGTCGTTTTATTATTTTCCATGTCTGTTGCTGTATTTTTAAAGGCGGACAAAATGTTACATTGTAAGCCATCGAGGTTTGTTTGATTTTCACATTTTTATATTTGTGCCAATTCTAAGCTGGCTTTTAGGTGAAACGTGTGGCATTACATAGTAAATAGTAAAGTGCTGGCGTTAACGAGTAATTACAGGAAATAGAAAAATAATTTCGTATTATAAAGTTTGTAACAATGAATTTCCTTAAAAGTGATAATTTAAAACGGCACTCTCTCTCTCTCTCTCTAAGAAAGCCTCCTTGCATCTTATAAGCTCATTTTCTTACGCACCGTACGGAGCCAGCCATGCGAATCGGAGGTGCGGGGGAATGACTACAACCTACACACAAAAAGCAGTTTGAAAGAAACGAGTTTTCAATTTAGATGTAAAAGTGCATAGCTCCTGTGGCTTCCTAATACATTTGAGACGTTTCACCGAATCCTAATTTTGACACGTGGCAGGAACCCGGTGACAGCACAGAACCCGGCACCCACGTGTTAACCTATTTGCTGTACTGCCACCTTCTCACACAGGGTTACAAACATGCGCCACGCAAATTAGTCATGAGTGTTGTTTCTTATTAATGCGTGCGAATGCGTTGGAAATATGCACGGGTGTGTGTACGTGTGCACGGGTTTGTACGTGAAGCATGCATGTGTACGTCTGCGTATAGATGCTAAACGTCTGTGCGTGCGCGTATGCGTTCATAGGCGCTCGCTAACGGCAGTTTCGCCGGGGGGGTGGGTGAGGGTATCGTTGTGTTTGCACGTGTTCGCGTGCGCATTCACGCGCGCACGTGAGTGCGTAACCTCGGAACCCCACAGCGTCTACACGCTCGTGTGCGCCCATCCACACGCGCGTGCCGGCGCGCGCAAGCGACCGAGACGGCCGACTCACCAGGCGGTCCAGGCTGGTGCCGGCGGCGGTGGTGGGACGCGGCGCGTCCCGGTTGTACCCTCGGAAGCGGTGGCTCGGCGCGTCCCCCGTGCCGCGTGCCGTTCTCCGCGAGCCCGGCCCGTCGTCTCGAGCGCCCCCTCCGGCCGCGCTCACCTTTGGCTGCCCGCAGCCCGCAAACACCTGCGGAGCGCAACCACCACCCACCCCACCCCCCACTGAGTTTTAATCAACGCACGAACCGCTCGTCTGTAAAATGCGCACAGCCTGCAGCGGCGTTCGGCAAAAAACCCGTCCGGGGTTTCCTGACGGGGCGCGATGCTGGCTAGAAAATAAATACATTTGGGTTTTTTATTTTTAAGAGCAAAGACTGCGTGCTTTTTGCGCACATCCCTGCGTGGCGTTGTTTGAAACTCGTGTGTGTTTTTTTCTTCTTCCGCCCAGCACTATTCTACAATTCTACAATAGTGCCGTGCGTTCACAGATTCGCCGGCGGTGGGGCTCGTGGCCGAGCGCCGCCGCCGTAACGCACCGTCGCTCTGCCGCGCTTCGCCACCGGTGCGGGATCGTTCATCGCGTCTCCGTCGCGGTGGCGGTGAGGGCCTACGTTGGAAATTACCGCTGGATTGCATTACAATTGTTCCCCCGTCATTTCTCTCACCGTGCATTTCCCTTGCATTGCTTCACTTCGAGCAATTGCGAAAGCACTTACATTCTCATCAGTCCAGCTCTAATTGATAGCGCCTTCAGCATATGCGGTGTTCGTAGGCAAACCGCAAACACCGTGCAAATACCATCGCCGGTATTGCCCCATCGAGTCAATGCGCTGCATGTGGATATTAACACGTGCGTGTAAACAAATGTGTGTGTACAGGGCATACACGTGCAATTCTGTAAAGTGTTGATACATGTTATTACTGGTGTTTGCAATGGTAGCAATGATGTAAGTGATGACAGCAGTGATAATTATGATTGTTACGACTACAAACATTCTGCTACTGCTACGATTGCTGTTGCTGCTACAGATGATGCCAATGATAGTGCTGTTGACATTGATGATTCTTAAAAATCATATTTATTGATCTTGGAAAACCTCGTTGAGTCAAAAATGTATATGCAATAGGGTCCTCCATTGAGATATTTAACATGTTTAATTAGTGTGCTTATTTTTTTACGTAATTATAATCCTGACAATAATGATGATGATGATGCTGCTGCTGATGAAAGACGATGCTACTTCTGATAATTATGATGATGCCGACACTGACAATAATTGTTGCTGCTGATGTTGCTGATGATGACGATGATGGTGACGACTATGATGATGGTCACGACGATGATGCCTCACCTGTGTGGTGATCTGCACAGCATTCTCCTGCATGTTCATGATGGCCTCTGAGATCTTGACGTCTATGGGGTCGACCACCGCCTCAATGTTGAAAGGCCCCTCCAGACGGTCGGCCACCAGCTGCATGGCATCTGAGATGAACGGGCACATTGTCACAATTACTTCAACCGCCTCTGTGTAAGACGTCAAACAGTCACACGGCAATCCCGATGCAAAAAGCTCTTTCGACCATTTCCCTCGGTTCCGACACTGTTTAAAATTACGAAAGCAAAATAAATTACAATAAAATTGCTTGACTTGACACGTATGTCTTTGAAGTCAATGTCATGGTTCATAATATTGGGTGATTTGCTTAGGATATTCTGACTTCCTGCATTTTCCTGCAGATGCTTGGCGCAGTTCCAAGCGAAACGGCGTCGCTCGTGAAAATTGCTTTTCAGCACGCGGCAGCTTCACTCGTTTTGATGTCAGGTGGGTGGTGGAGCGCCTGACGACACAGATCTGGTCAGATAATAACCGGGCCGAACGCAAAACTCAGTTACGCATCAAAATGATTTACAATCGCCAATTGGTTGACGTTTTATTTTAGCATTTATATATTTAAGAAATGTATATTTATTTCCACTCATTTTTAGGTCACAACCACTCTTAATCCCGTGACCTTTTTACGAAATATTGTTTGACCCCCTGCACCTTAGCCATGAATTTTACCAATACCGTGACAAAACTGAAGCCTTCATCAAATATGTAATTAAGATGATGAATGCGAAGAGAAATATTAGCCTTCACGGTTTAAATTTGAAAGTGTTATTTTTTTCTAGGCAATTATAAAGAAACTAAACGAGTTAAAACTCCTCAGGGAATACGTGTACCTGTTTTTTTTTTAAACAAATATCTTCACGTTCTCTGTCACGTTCAAAACTCCACCAGTCGCGACCTTCCCATCATGGTCCACTCAGCCCCCGACGCCAACCGCTACCATGATCAACAGAAGTTCCGCTCTGAAGGCATTCTCTCCAGGCCATGGAAATGTGGAATTTCCACCAGGGGCTCTGGGTCATAAAGAGGAGACGGGGCGCACTGCCCTACACTCGTTCGAGCAGAGAGGCGACTGCCGATTATCTTCTTGGTTCTTTCGGTAAAGTCACCACGTAGAAGGGAAATAATAAAATAATAAAATAAAACATTAAATTATCACGACGCTTCGGCCACAACACAAGCAGCCGTCTTCAGGTGAAGAAACAGAACTGTCGGGAAGACAGCGTTCCAATGAGTTCTGTTTCTTCACTTGAAGACAGCTGCTTGTGTTGTGGCCGAAACGTCGTGATAATTTTATTTTATTGTTTTATTTTTATTATTTCCCTTCTACGTGGTGACTTTACCGAAAGAACCAAAAAGATGAATCCATGCAGTCACGAAAGCTTTAAATCCAGACTGCCGATTAGTTTTACTCCTTTGCGCGAGAGAACTGCCCCTGGAATGTCCCCTTGACCGAGTTAAACAAAGGAAGCAATTTACAATGGTAACACATGCAAATCACACGCGGTAAAAAACACACAAAACTCGCCAACAAAACACGCAAGCCAATCCCGTTGCTTGTATTTGTTTTCGAGGCGCTTCTGTATTTACCAAGATGTTTATTTATTTACAGAATAAAACAAACGTAAATCATCATTGCGAATACAAATTGCATCTGTGGTGACTTAGTGCAGGCGAGTCTCTGCGGGGACGCTGTATCGGGCTCTGCATGCCAAGCGGATGCTAAACCGTTCACGGCTTGCGGACGCACGCCAACATCCCCATCCATCTTGCACGTTTCCACCGCTCTCCCACAACACCGGCAACGACAGGGACGCCGCAAACGACACAGAAACACTTTCCTGCTCCCCCCCCCATCTCCCCTCCCTAAAACCCTGCAAGCTCGCGTCTCCCTCCACGCTCGTTCAGATTGAGTTCACAATTCCCCCACCTCGCGCCCCCACCACCAACACCACCTCCCCACGCTCTGACACGGCTGGCCCCTTCTGCCTAATTGCCTCCTAATGTTTTCATCAGTTATCTGTCCGGCTAAAGGCTCCCCTCCCCCCCATTTGCCCTCGGTCGTCATTCCCGTTGAAGCCTTACGGGGGTGGCCGCCGCTGCCCTTCACAGCGAGAGCTTAACTTGCCATCAGACGGCTGCGGGTTCAAGCTCCTGGTCGGGCGTCGGTTGCAGTGGCAGTCCTCGACTTTGCGAACACAATTCGTTCCCGGGACCCGTTCGTAAGTTCGGAACACAGTAATCTACCGAATATTTAAATGCGCGTACATGCCAACACTCACTCCCAGCATGGGGCCAACTCATTGCATCTCGCTGAGGATCCCGCAGCTGAACACAAATAGTGCCGCGGTTCGATTTGCAGGCGAGAGTTTTGTAAAACAAAACTAATATTTCACGCGAGCTGGTTTGTAAGTCGGGTGTTCGTAAGTCGGGCGTTCGTAAGTCCGGGTGCTCGTAAGTCGATGGCTGCCTGTACCTGCCTTCGTCACCTCTCTGGAGAACGTAAAACGAGTTGCCTGCGGCATGGCCTTGTTTAAAGGGGTGGTGGTGGGGGGGGTACGTAAACTCAAGGGGGGCAGGCGTGTGGGCTACGGCACGGTCAACGTTAAACAAACGTTAAACAAACGCTAAGCGCTAATCAGAATGAGTAACAACGCGATCGGCGTTTTGTGGCTATCGCGCAATCCCACTCCGCCTCTCAGCCCCCCCCCCCCCCCCCCACCAAATATAGCAGACAGCTTGTATACCGCAGTGACTGACACTAAATAGGAGCGGGGGGGGGCTGCAGGGGCTTAGCACCCCTGCCGCTTTGCGAGAAATCAACAGCGGTTGTCCCGAGGGGTAGAGACGAGCCCCTGCCATGGAAATGTGGAATTTCTACATTTGTCTCGCGGTCACTAATGTAGGGCATCACCGCTCCCACGCGCCCGCAGAGCCACTCCGGCGGCGACGGCTGTCATTGTTATTTTTGTGACGTTGTCGTTGTTGTTGTTGTTTACGCCCTCACGCCGATGTATTTTACCCGCGTGTGAATCTCGCGTCTGTAGTTCAGCTCACGTCGCGTTTTGCGTTCCCTTTTCCGGCGTTGAGAAAACGAGCCGTCGGGATTGTGGCCAAGTTCCCCCGCCAGAGGTGGCTGCTGAAGGACATCATCGGTCGTGTGGGGGCAGCTCACGGACACAGCAGGCAGCCAGCTTCAGATGAATTGTTGCTCACACAATGCCCGTGGAGCCACGGTGGCGAGGCGTTAACTGCCTCGCCAGGTGTGCAGGTTCCGTGGGTTTGATCCCGACCCTGACGCCTGCTGCATATTTGGAGTTGTGTGTGTGTTCTGCCCCGTGGTCGCGTGGATTTTTCTTAGGGTAATCCGGGTTTTCCCTCGCATATTTTTGGAGTATTTTGCTGCTATGAATTTCCACGTGATAAGCCACTTCGGTGAGCTATTAATTATTTGTGGCCAGGTCACTTCTGAAAAACAGCTGTACAGCTCGGTGGGGGCCTTACCTGGTGAAATAAGAATTGTTGAGTTTAGTTTATCACCACCATCTTCTGTAGAAGGACTCTGTACACCTACATTGGTTGAGGATCTTTATAGAACATTATGGCGGGACCGCGGGGTCCCATAAGCCCTCGGCTTTCGCATTAACTGCGTTGCGACGTCATTTTATGTCTTTTGAAGTCGAACGATACGGCGATCTATACATCTTGACGAGCTCTACACAATGCGCTAATTAAAGTTTTGTTTATGACTGCGGCATTCACCCGCGCTGCTGCGCTTGGACGTCACGACAACAGAATGGTCCGCGCCAGGTGGGTCGCGGCGTTTATGTGCGCCGTGGGACGGAGTCGCCACAAATTAATTACGATTTTGACGCGACCCCAGGGTCCCGTCATAAGGAGCCATCCATTCAGTACGTACGCATGGAGGGGGGTATAGGAAATGGTTGGGGGTGGGGGTGAAGCCTCGATAATAATTTGTCGTCATTGGCCTTCAAATGAGCCACAAGTCAGACAAGTCGTACCGGGAGGAGTGGGACTGTGGGAGAGATGCCACTCGTGTGCCACCCCTGACTGCAGCTATCACGCAGCTCAGCAAAATTAGTGGCCAAGGTACGCAACTTAATACTGGTAGGAACCTCCTGGTTACACCAGCCCACAGGGGATTATTGTGGCCGTCCGTAGTGCATCCAGAAATGGGAGGGGTGGGGCTGGGTGGAGAGGGGTGGGAGGGGTGGGGCTGGGTGGGGAGGGGCTGGGTGGGGAGGGGAGGGTGGGGAGGGGCTGGGTGGGGAGGATGGGGAGGGGCTGGGTGGGGAGGGGAGGGTGGGGAGGGGCTGGGTGGGGAGGGGCTGGGTGGGGGTGGGAGGGGTGGGGCTGGGTGGGGCTGGTCACCCCGTGGTGCCCTTATAAAACTCAACGTTTAACCTACTCACGCCGGCTTGTGCCCGCCCTCACAGTCGGCCACATTTGCGGAATACACCACGTGGTGCCGCCGTTGACCCTGGCCATTGACCGAGCAACCCAACGTTCCTAACCAGCTCCCTCTGCAGGAATGTGTTTCTTTAATGCAGCCGGTGGTGGACTGTTTGCTGAAACACGTTAATAGTATTAATCCTTGGTCGTTTCTGCGTGGATTAAATATCGGCCGTTCTATAGGATTCGGGGGGGGGGGGTGCATCAGGCGTACATACGCAGCTGGGGGGGGGGGGGGTGTAAAAAGTCTGCGTGCGTACAGGACTGGCGGGGCCGGGGGAGCCAGGGGGGGGGGCGACGGAGCCGGGGGGGGGGGGCGACGGAGCCGGGGGGGGGCCGACGGCGCGAGCAGAGGGAGCCGACACTGACTCACTCACACATCATACACTGACTCACTCACACACCATACACTGACTCACTCACACCATACACTGACTCACTCACACACCATACACTGACTCACTCACACCATACACTGACTCACTCACACCATACACTGACTCACTCACACATCATGCGCTTACTCACTCACACACCATGCACTGACTCATTCACACACCGTGCACTGACTCGCTCACACATCATGCACTGACTCGCTGATCATGCGCTTACTCACTCA